TCTCAGAAGGAGTCTTCTGGGGTACTACAGCTTAACTTGGCTCCACTCCAGGTGGAAGCAGAGCAATGAACACGGAGAGGGAGGAGGAATGGAGAAGCAGGCTCTTGTCCCAGCATGGCTCCAGGCAGACAGGGCCGGCTTTAGGCACTGCGGGGCCCTATTTGAAGGAGCTGCCACCGAAATCCCACCGCTGTCTTCGGCGGCAGCGATTGAGCTGCCACCGAAGACAGCGGCAACGATTGAGCTGCTGCCACCGACAGTGCTGGGACTTCTGCAGCAGCTCAATCAGCTGCCAGTGCCTTCGGCGGCACTACAGCGGAGGCAGGGCCGGCTCCAGGCACCAGCTTAACAAGCAGGAGCTTGGGGTGGCCAAGGGAGAGGGGCGGCACCTGCGGCAATTCGGGGGCGGCAGGTCCCTCGCTCCCTCTAGGAGCAAAGGACCTGCCGCTGAACTTTTTTTTTTTCCCCCAATTTTTTTTTTTTTTTTCTTGGGGCGGCAGAAATGCTGGAGCCGGCCCTGAACGGAGGGACCTTCCTCCCCGGCAGAGATTGAGGTGCCGCCAAAGACAGCGCCGGGACTTCAGCGGCAGCTCCTTCGGGACGGCATGGGGCCCCCCTAAGGCACGGGGCCCAATTCCGGGGAATTGGTGGAATTGCCCTAGGGCTGGCCCTGCAGGCAGACACAGAAAAATGAGAGTGGGGAGGAACAGGGGGAGGATTAATTCTCCCTTTCTCCTGGTTCAGGCGGGCGAGGCAAGCATAGCAGAGTGAATTCACAAAAGGGAGGTGCAGTTGAGTAGGGAGGCAGCTCGGAGTCAGATTCTGTCCCTAGGTATACAGACGAGGAGAGGGAGGGGGAGTGTAGTCCCCTCTCAGAGCAGCTGTGCAGTGCACAGAGGTTTAGGGAACAGGGTTTCTGGTTTTACCTGCTGTGGGCAGGAGACAACAGGGGGGTGGAATTTTGCTTCTCCCTCCCAATTAGCGTCGATGGGACAGGGAATTGGGGAGGAATCAAACCCTGCACAGGGCAGACGGAGTACAGTGATTTGGGCCAGTGTGAGCCAAGGACAGGAGGATCCTTGCAATAAGGGTGAGGGACTGGGGGAGCCTGGGATAGTGCCTTTCATATCAAAGGGCAGCCTATCAGGCTTGGGCAAGGGGGGCTCAAGGTGAAGCACTCACCCAGGCAAGTGAGCTGGCTGCGTTTGATGGTGGGACAGTCAGCCGGGATTTGATACAAGTAATCAGGGTTATTGTGTCTGAGATTGTTTCCACAGCTTTGCAGGCCCTACAAGGTGTAATGGCTCGCCCAGATCTAGGACATTCCACTCAGGTGATTGCAGGAGATGAGGCAGACACAGAGGGCAGGAGTGAGTTAAATCAACAATGGATAAAGGTTCCCAATTGCAGAGGTGTTTGGATCTGCTTTGGGGAGAGCTACATGAGGTGGTTTAGGGTCCAGTACGAAAATGATGTGGCAAAGGTGAGGACTGTGGACACTAGTGGTTCCTCTGAGGCTTACCCCATCATTTGGTTGGGTTTTGGGGGGTAATCACATGGGCTAGCCAGAAACTGTCTCAATTTGTCTGGGCCTATAAGCAGATGCAGAGTGTAAGCAGATGCAGGGTATTGCACGGCTGATGCAGGCTAATTAAGTTCCTCCAACATGGGGACAGCCATGGGAGAGGTGTCTTGCTAAGGCTGCATTCTTTAGCTATGCTTGTGTTACAGCTGAAGCTTACCCAGAGAGATTCCCGGCTTGTTAGATATATAAATATAATTGGGCGGGCATGCAATACATTCACGGGCATACATTTCTTTATGCAGTGACTTTTGCAGCATCTGTACATTCAGGCATGCATGCAAACCATGTTTTGGGTCTCATACAGCACATTACTGCCACAATGGTGAGGGGAGGTACAGGACGCAGGGTAGAACAAATGCCTTCTGCAGGTAGGCCCTGTTTGAACAGTGTGTGGGTGGCAGAAGGCAGGCCGGTGCAAGGGGACAGCTTCAAGCATTGGAATGGTCTAAGGCTTCCTGTGGGACTACCCCAGCAAAGCCAATGGGTCAAATGTATGTGTTGGGTTTCTTTTAATGGGGGTTCTTATCCCCTTTATATGCAATAATAATGATTAAAGTCAAGGGTGGGGTTTGGCCATGTTGTTAAGGCAATAATTCCACAAGAATGACTTCGGGGTACAGGGGCAGGCCCATCCAGCCAATTGCCTGTGGACAACTTGTGGGTTTTCCCCAAGGCTAGCTTCAAGCAGCAGAAGAATAGGCTATGGCCTCCAGTGGAACTACCTCAGTAAGGCTGTTGGGTCAAATTTGTGGGCTGGGTTTAATGCTTATCCTTTTTATGTACAATAGTAATAATTAAAGTCAGGGGTGAGGTTTGGCCATGTTGTTAAGATTATAATTCCACAAGGAGGAATTCGGGGGTACAGTGCAGGGCCACCCAACCAATTGCCTGTGCACAACTTATGTGTTTTGCCTTGAGGCTTGGCCCCTGGAAAGGCTCCAGGGAATTACATTGCTTCATAACCTCGCTGAGGTTGACAATGGCACAGCACACACCTTGTCTCATTTTCAGGTCCACAGATTTCTGGAGTTGGCACCAGGAGCCAGCCGGGAACCCAGGCAGATGCCACTAGTGCTATGAAACCTTGGCATAGAATGGTTGTCAGTGTGGTGCGGAGATCAATTGCTCAGTGCACGTGGCAGGGCCGTGAAAGAAGTTTTAATGATTTCATGCAATTTCAGGATCAGGAAAGCCAGTAAGCAATATGGCCCATTAGAGATGAAAAAGTACTGCAGTACATGCTGTCGTTGGCAAACTGTCAACTGGCATCCTCCACAATCTCAAATCACCTCTCTGCCATTACATTCGTCATTAAGCTAAATGGTTATCCTGATCCTTGCAGTGGTTTTTTAGTTCAAAGGTTTTTGGCTGGGTGGTCGCATACCAGTGGCCCCAGGGTGGATTCCCGTCGTCCCATCGTGGTTTACATACTTAGGGATCTTGTGCAGATCCTTGGCTATGTCATAATGGACAGGAGGCAGATTTGTTCAGGGCTGCATTCTTGACAGCATTCTTTGGTGCTTTTAGGATCAGTGAGCGAGTACCTGGGTCTGGTAGGGACTCAACAGGAAGGGTTTTGCAACTGCGGGATATACAATGGCATGAGCATTCAATAATATAACACTTGCGAAGGTCAAAGACAGATTAACTCAGCCCGGGTGAATCTGTGATCCTCCAGCAGGGTGGTGAGCCTGGATCTGCCCAGTTCAGGCTTAGAAGGCCTACAGGGTTATATGGCCAAAGGGGAAAGGTCCCCTTTTTATGCAGGTATGGGAGCAGAGGCAATCAGGCGTTGACATTCAGTTGCGTACTGAACGTATGTAAGACCTCAGGTGGCAAGTCATCATTAATTTGTTGTAATCTCATTACAGATATTGGACGACCAGTCATGCAGATGGTGGTGTGGATCTGTGGGCATAGTATTGTCTTTTGGGCCCATAGGCACATGTCCAAGTTGCCCGAGGGTTCGCAGCTGGCCTTCGGTGATGAGGCGATACTCAGTTGGCATGCAAGGAAGGGCATGTTACAGGATCAACTAATATCGATGCTATATGCTGTGCGGGCCCATCAGTAGCCCCCAGATATAATTGTGGTGCATCTTGGGGAAATGATTTGGAAATGCTTAAAGGGGTGGAACTAATGCTCAGAGCAAGGAGGATTTGGGGCTAATCCTTGAACTTTTTCCAGGAGTTAACATGATTTGGCCAGACATGCTTCAGCGCAGGGTCTGGCAGGGAGCTGTGAGTCCCCGCAGGGTGGACAATGCAAGGAGGTATGTGAACAGGGAGGTGGCCAAATTCCTCGGGACCATAGAAGGGACAGTAATTTCACATCCTGGTATAGTATATGGGGCAGCGGCGTTGTTTCAGAAGCATGGGGTTCACCTGTCCGACTTAGGTGCTGTCATGTTTTTAACTGATATAAAAGATGGCATTAGAAGATGTCTGGGAATCCGACTGGGTGTGGGGAGGAGGCAGTCAAGCTAATTGCTGGTGCCTCCTTGTGGCAGATGTCCAGTCCTCCATAGGAAAGGTATACAGTGACTGGATAAATGGCTTGGAAAATGACTTAATAAGTAATAAGTGGTAGAACCTACTTAGTAAAAGATATTGGGATGATCGTAAACGAAACTGAAACATCATTAAAAAGGAGTTGATCTTGTGGCAAAGAGGAGTGAATTGTTTAAACCTGCTAGATTTGAGAAGAAATACTACAAATCAGACATCCACCCAACAGAATCATATAATTACTTATTAAAGAGCTGGTACATTTACTATGATATATGAAAGTCCTTCCTCATTGCAATCTATCTGTGGGTCAGAATTTCTAAACTAAACTTTAAATGCATAGAAAAGTTAGAAAAGGTAGAAAATACACAATGGCAAGACAACTTCCAACTGTAGTTCTGGCAACCTAGAGAACAATTAAGCTGATTTAAGTTGCATTTGCACATTAGGATGCCCTTATACATGTATAACACCAAAAATAAACACAACCATAAAAGGCTAATTATTTTGTTTCAGAATATTCTTTAATCACATACTGTGGAATCTAATACCAGCTCTCTCATTTACTTAGTATACTATCTTATAAAACTTTTTAGATTTGAAAACAAAACAAACATTTTTACTTACCATATAATAAAACAAAATCTCAGAAAGTTTTCTTGTCAGTTCTGACTTTTCAGTCACACATTTAGTATACTAATCTGGCATTAAAAACAAGATCAAAAGGAGTAACAATAACTAGTATACATTTCAAATATACAACTGTTACAAATTTCTTTTTCTTCAGCTGTGTGAATAAGCAATCTATTTTAAAACAAAGTATTGATGTTTTCCATGAAACTTCTTCTCACCATTCAAAACAAATAATATAGATCAAAACATTCCCCAGTGATTAATGGAATACTTACACTTCTGTATTTCACGATATATTCCAATATGGGGGCTCCGCCATCATCCTGTTTAGTTATACTAAGTTTAAAGCTCTTTCCACTGCCTGGTTGTCCGTGAATTGATGGAGGGCTTGGCTCACCTGAGCATTGGGGGGGGAGGGGGCAGAGAAGAAGAGAAATTCAATATTTCTATTTTTATATGTATTATTTCTACTGTTTGATTAATTAATATTATTAATCAAAACCTTCATAATCAAACAGGATGTTTTCAAGCTTTCTGCAACATACTTCATGATACTTAATGATCATCCTGGCATCAATGCTGTCACGTTTGTTACAAAACATATCAAAGATTTGTACATTAAAAATAAAAGGGATTTAGAATAAAAATAGTCTCAGTCTCTGTGATTTGATATCTTCTTATCCTTTCAAATTTAGCTTGTTTAAGAAATGACTCCTTATGCAGGCACTAATTTAGAAAAGCAGCTGGTTAATTTTAAGCACGTAAGTAATCCCATGCTATTCAGCAAATCATTATACACATCCTTAACTTAAAGCATGTGCTTAAGTCCCATCGGTGGAATCTAAATCATTATTAACGGACAATAAACTGTCATAAACAGCAGCAATAAACTGTCCCAAAGCAAACCTGAGGCTCTTTTAGATTATACAATACGATCATTTTATTAAGAATGAATTTGAAGAAAAGCATTTTATAAGATCTTGAAATGTATGAAATTTTACTTCAAACACACTCTATTTTTATAATAAACCCATCCTTTGATGTTGACCCTGTTGTTTCTTACAAGGAGGTTCTACTATAACAGGAATATTTATGCTGAAATTTTGATCAGAGTACTTTTAAACCGGAGCACAAATACAGGACTCAAGTGTACTGCCATTGCTAAAAGGAGAGAGCTGTGTTTTCGTCTGCTGGAGCGCAGGTGCATGTTCCATCATATCTTTATTCTGAGTATCTGATCCCTTCCAGGAAAACCACAGGGCACTGCCATGTAAAAGAAACTTACTCCTGGAATGCTTCAGAGGGCAGGATTCTTGTATATTTCAATACTAGATCTGTTTAAAGTTTTGCCTGAAAGCTGTTTTTCAAATTATTTTTGTTTTTTAAAGTAATCAATTTTTCCTTTCAAATTTTTCTACCAAGAAAAGGGAAAGAAAACCTGTTTTCTAAAACTGAACTCAAAATACTTTTTAAACTCTGGGTTTTTCATTGAAAAATTGAAAAAAAAAATCACAGGAAATTTGGGGGAAATATTTTCTTTCAACCCCCCCACCCCACAAAAAAGAAACACTATTAGCATTTATTAACTACCTCTATTCAATATCTTTTCTGCACCACAGAATGGAGCTGGTTGTCTGAGCAAAAGGGTGGGATGATTGTGCAATTGTGAATGTAAAAATAAAACCAGTGTCTTAGACCTGATTTTCTCAGGTCATCAAGAAGAGAGGCTAGAAATGTGTTGGGGCTTTCTTGAGAGCCTGCTGTGAAAAAGAACTGGAGACACTGGATGTAGTTTAATTAGGCTGAAACTTTATTCCTAAATGTCTGGGAATATCCAACTGATAAAATTGTACAGTGCAGGTAATTCCATAATTATTTACATATACCCAGAGGGCTGCTGGCAGCTCTTCCTCTTACCCATCCTGGTCCCCAGCCAACTTGCTGCTGCAAACTCAACACACCCAGTTGGATGAGGAGTAAGAGGGGATAAAAAAGGAGGGGGGTTAACTCCTGATATACCAATCATAGGAGCCCAGGACCACCCCCCTGTTTTCGCTCCTTTAAAAAATACCTCCTTTAAATTCTTTTCCAATTCATTCTGTCTGAGCACCATATCCATTCTCTATGGACTTTGTGATGAGACATATTCCCCACACTGGCCCTGAGAGGGCTGAATGGGGCCAAGTGCGCCCAATCAATCAATTAGGATGCAAATAGGGGAGACTTAAGCTGGAGGAAGCTAATTAGAAGAACGCTCATCTATGAGACAACAGGTGGGGCTTCTACAAAGCCACGAGGCTAGCAACAGTGTGGAAGGCTTCAGGGAGGAAGCCTGCTGTCCTCCTCCCTGAGATAAGGGAGAAGGAAGGGGAGAAGAAGCCATTAGGAAGGAATCCAGTAAGGTGGTGGAGCTGCACACCTTAATTGTTCACTACAGGGCCCTGGACTGGAATCCAGAGTAGAGGGTGGGCCTGGGTTCCTCTACCAACCACTGCAGAGTGATACTGGCAGGGATCAGGAAGACTGCTTGAGTCACTGTGGGAGTGACAGGGTCAGAGCAGCAGGCATGAGGACTAACTGATGCCATGTGGACAGAAGTGACTTTTAAAGGGTTCCCAAAAAGGGAACCCAATTACTAACATGGCCAGAGGGCTGAGTCACAAAGAAGCAGCAGCAGCTCCTGGGATGAGAGAGGAGCTGCAGACCAAGAGAAAGTGACGGAGAGAGGGGGTGCAACTGCAGGAAGGAACTTCTACCTCGCATTGCTAATTCCCAGAGTGGCCAGGAGGAGGCGCCATCCAGCAATGAGTAAAGTGCCCTGTCACAGAGTTCCTGCGCTGGATATCTCCCCAGTTTAAATAATGAGTTGTGACTTCATAGCCTAACCACCTTTCATTTTTTGCCCCCACTAAGCCTCCAACTTGCTGTGGGGCAGGTGAAAAACCCACTTCATCTTGGTGAGGGCAAAATTCCTTCCCAGCCCACCAAGAAAGAAGCAACCAGTGTAATGCTCACACAGCAGGTGCTGAAGAAACCTGGTATTTTAACTACTGCCACGGGTAGGAGCTGCTCAGAATGGTCCAGGTAAAAAGGGGACCTTTTCAGTGATGAGCTCCCAAAATCCTAAGAACCGGTTCCCTACCGGGTCCTCGGCGGCACTTCGGCAGCGGGGGGGTGGGGGGTGGGAGGTCTTCACTCGCTCCAGGTTTTCGGCGGCATTTCGGCGGCAGATACTTCACCTGGAGCGAGTGAAGACCCCCCCCCCGCCGCCGAAGTGCCACTGAAGACCCAGTAGCGAACCGCGCGGTGCCTGTCTCCCCCCCCATCCGACCCCAACCCACGTCCTCCCCCAACTGCCCCCCTCATAACCCGCAACCCATCAACCCTACCTGCTCCTTGTCCCCTGACCACCCCCTCCCGAGACCCCCCCACCCTAACTGCCCCCCAAGACCCCACCTCCTACCCAACTCCCCGCTCCCTGTCCCCTGACTGCCCCAACCCCATCCACCACCACCCCGACAACCCCCGGAACTCCCACGCCTACCCAACCCCCCCCATTCCCCGTCCCCTGACCGCCCCCCCAGAGCCTCTGCCCCCTCCAACCGCTCCCTGCCCCTTATCCAACCCCTTACCATGCTGCTGTGTAAGGATGCCGCGCGGCCGCTGGAGCTCGCAGCCCCACCCCCTTACCATGCCGCTCAAAGCAGCAGGAGCTGCAGAGCTGCCCAGAGTGCTGGCGCCGGCAGTGCAGCGCGCTGGGGCTCTGCGAGGGGGGGGGGGAAGCAGGGGAGGGGCTGGGGGCGCCTCCCCAGCTGGGACCTCAGGCGGGCTGGGCAGGACGGTCCCGCGGGCAGGATGTGGCCCACAGACCGGAGTTTGCTCACCCGTCCGCCCCTTTAGGAACTGGTTCTACGCTGGCTTCTAAATTTAACAACCAGTTCTTGCGAACCGGTGCGAACCGGCTCCAGCTCACCACTGGATCTTTTGCTGCACAGACTTGGACATAAATAATTCCCTTCTCTTCCAGTCACCTGGTGGGGGTCATGGGTCAGTGTCCCCACATTGCCCTGTTATAGAGCTGCCTGACTCCCAAGCAGGTAGCTCTCTAGCCCTTAAAGGGGCAACACACCTTCTCCGACAAGCCAGAGAAAGGGCCCCAATGCTTAACATGTGGTAAAGTCATTCTCTAGAGGCCAGTATTTTTTTAAAAGTACTTTTAAGGCAGATTATAGTTCAGATCACTGAACTTTGAGAGTGCCTCTGTTTAAAGATAGTGTAAGAGCAAAGTAATAAAATGGGGAAGTGTAGCCGTAAAATAATTATTATTCTGAATATGTAGATAACTGATGTAAAAACTTATTAAACATTAAGCATATGAACCTACCCTGGGGTAGTGAGGTAGGTACAGTAGTATTTTTTAAAAGAAACAGAAATATGCACATGATGGGACAACAGAAAAAGGAGTCAAAAATGGTATGTTAGATTATTCAGTTCTTGCCTTTTAGCACCATATATTTAAATTTGAATTCAGTTGTTTAATACTATTTGGTATTCTAATATATTGTATTAAACAAAAGCTTCATTTACTTTGATATAGAAATGAATGCACTGATATTAGTCATACTTGCTGTGAACAGTTGCACTATATAACTGAACCACACAACCCTGAATTTGAAAAGCTTTCTATGAAACTGCTACCAAAACCAATCCTGACTTCACTAGCAGTGAAAAGACAAATGTATCAAAGTACTAACAAATCTATTTAACCTTTTCCCCATAGCTTTGCAAACAAAAGTGCACCCATCACTGTGGCATCAGACTGCATTTAAAATACCTTAAATTACAGGGATTAATATTTCCAAACTAAAGGCCTGATCCAAAACCCACTGAGATCAATGGAAATCTTTCCAATTTTATCAATGAGCTTTGGACCAGCCCCCAAGTAATTATAAACAGTCATATAAAAGCTGCTGCTATTCAGAACTACTTTAACTTTAAATGTATTTTGAAATGTTTGCGAGTTTGCAAACCATACATGATTTTATGTATCCTAGGTGTTGTAACCCCTTGACAGGTTGTGATAACCCTACTCGGTGTGAATAAGCATGGCAAAAATTGGCCTAATGGCAACAGTATATGCCTTTTGCTATAACTATCTGTCAAAGGAACAAACACTATACATAGCCATCTATCACTGGGTAGCGTCTAGGGCCCAGTCTGCCTGTGACTCCTAGACAAAGTCCCTCTCTGGGGGTAATTGACAGTTGGCTGATTAGTAAACAAACAATTGGACCTGATAAAGGTTACCCAAGCTCAGCCAGAGTGGACTCCAAAGGGAGACAGGAGACGCCTGTTGAGGGGAACCCCCAAGGGAAGCCTGAGCCAGAGGGCTGAGCAAGGAGCCAAGAAGAGAGCTCTCTGGGGAACCTACCAACACAGGTAGCCTGTAAGAGAAGCTCCTGGAGAGGGGAGCCTCCTAGATGGAGGGTTGCAGCCACAAGACCTTCAAGAGGACCTGGTCTCAGCCAGGGGTCCCACAGGCCAGAATCTCGGCCTGGTAAGGATCACCTGCTGTGTCTGGAGAAGAGTCGCAGTGGCAGATCTCTCCAGATTCCAGAAGACATATTTCGGTATGGGTAAGAGCCCTAACACTTGGGGCAGAGACTGGAACTAAGAGAATCCTGGAGGAAGAGCCTGGGTGGAGGTAAACACTGGACTCAGGTGTGGGACATGGACTAAGAATGACCTAGTATGACCAAATTGATCCTGTATTCACATCCTACACATTATTGTAATAATTTTTGCACAAAGTATGCCTATAAGTATCATTTTAAAACTCATAATTCATTGATCAATAATATTGTGATGAAATGTGAGTGGCATCATTTTATGTAAAGTTATGACTTCCCCCCCAATGACATTGGTGGGGCATGTTCAAACTCACGTAGCAACAATTAGCCAAAACGGATCAAGCAGGTCTTAAATAAAGGGATATGTTTACATGAAATTTACATATATACTATAAATAAAGTCAGGGGACAAAGGAGATCTGGATTTCAGTGAACGGGGCAAGGGATAATTTGCTGGGGAAAATGTCTACTGAAATGGCCACATTCTGTTCACATTAAGGTCAGTGGTACTGCATGGGTATAAATGAGAGCAGAATTTATGCTCATAAACTTTAATATTATGTTCTCTAGGATAAAAAATTTAAAGATTATTCTAATATTCTGATAAATATAAATAAATATTGGAAATTATCCAATATAGGGTCATCCAAATGACCTGAAAATGAGATTTCAGGGATCATCATAATCTAGGGGAATGTGGTATTGTAAACTGTGCATTTTACTCAGAGTGAATCGTTTTTGAATTTATGAGCTGAACTAGAGGTAAAATAGGCTGACAAGAGTACAAATAAACTAACTTTTCATTTAAAAACAAAGACATTACTCACGAACGGGTAAAGTCTGAAAGATCTCAATTTTGCTATACTCTCCTTGTCCTTTTCCATTTACAGCTGCAACCTTGATTTCATATGTTGTATTCGGTTCCAGATTGCTAAGAACAACCGTTGCTAAAAGGAAAGGAAAGAAAGCGATGAAACAAAAATTGACAAAATGATAGATTAAGATAATAACATTTCCAAGGCCATTTTGTAATTCATTTGCTTTGAAATTAGGAGTCTAATTTTACAATGTTTTATTTACAAAAGTGAAAAATATTCATCTAGTTCAATGCTAATAGTTTCAAATGGTTTTGTTACTACACAAATTTTGCTGCAATTAAATAAGTTATACCGTCTGCGGACATTAGTGTAGGAGTTACAGAAGTCAAGTGCAAATATAAAAACCTTGGTAGTGCTTCACATTTCTATGAGATGGCGTGCCTGATTCCCCAGTAAGATTGGGGCACTTTTGCCCCACTCCATTGACAAACAGTTGCCCTGGACACCATTGGATGATGTCCCCACTGAAGGGACACTCAGGCTATGTCTACACTGGAATAAAAGACCCCGGCATGGCCATGGTTGGCCCACATCAGCTGACTCAGGCTTGTGCTGCAAAGCTAAAACTTGCTGTGTAGACACTTGGGCTGTATACTGGGCTCTAGGAGCTTCTGGCAGTGTGGTGTCCCAGAGCTTGGCCTCCAGCCTAAATGCCTACACAGCTATTTTACAGCCCTGCAACATAAGCCCTGTGCGTTAGCTGACCCATGCCAGCCGCAGGTGTTTAATTGCTGTGTAGACATACCCTCAGGTGGCGTGGGGCTGCTTCAGTGGTTATTCTGGCATCCTCACCCTCCGGGTCACCTGTATGGAAGATGCAGATCTGGAAAAGAGGCATGGGCTCCCTTAAATCGAGTTGAAAACTGGATGCAATAGCGCCTTCCTTGGGGCCATTATCAGCTGCTGTAAATTGAGCGGGACATGTAAGCAAGTGAATGACAAACACATGGAATGGGTTTAAATGGCAGGCTGCAAGTTTATTAATTATACCTTAGGGAGAGGTACTACCCTGCTCACCCCTAGCTCCAACATAACACGGAGTTATTTGATTAAAGCTAGTTACAGGGCTTTGGCCACAAACCAAACAACAACTTGGGGTGGACCCTCCTGGTCTATCCCATAGACTCAGCACAACTGTGAAACCTCTCACCACCACCCCACATAATGAGAAGGATGGAGAAACAGAGGCCACAAGGCGCGGGGGGGGAACTTCATTCTGCAAATACTTCAGGCTCCTCCTCCCCACATGTGCAAGATCCAGCAATGAAATCCAAGGTCTCATTTATCTCTGAGATCTGGCCCATTTAGCCTGTACCCACATTGGACACTGGCTACAAGTTGCAACAAGTCAGTAGTCTTAACAACACTGTATGAACTTTGAATCCTATTGTTCCCAATCCAACTGTGCCTCCAGGAGACTGCAAGAAGGGCAAAACAACCCACCAAACCAAATGGCAATTTGGTCCTATGAGAAAAATTCCTTCCTGATTCCTAAAAATGGGTGATCGATCAGGCCACAGCATCACAAGCAGTACAGCCTCTAACCTACAACTGGGGAGAGGGGAGGGCAGGGAATGAACTGGAGAGTAAGAGGCTTTTGAAAAGCCTGAGATAATTTAAAGAGGCAAAGCGGGGAGGCAACTGGCAGCCAGTCACCTGACCCCATTCCCCCTTGCCAGGGCCGGTTCTAAGATTTTTGCCGCCCCAAGCAGAAACAATTTTGGCCGCCCCCCCCCCCGTTTTTTTCTTACCCCACCCCCGGCCCTGCCTCAGCTCCGCCCCTTCCCCAAATCCCCAGCCCTGCCTCCTCCCCGCAGGCTCTCAAGCCTACGAGGGAGGGGGAGAAGCGGCGCCCGCGCCGCGGGCACTCGGAGTCTCTCCCTCCCTCCCAGGCTCTCAAACCAGGCTCTCAAACCTGGGAGGGAGGGGGAGCAGCGGCGCGTGAATCAGCTGTTTCGCGCGCCATGGCCGCTCGGGATCTCCCCCTCCTTCCCAGGTTTGAGAGCCTGGGAGGGAGGGCGAGCAGCGGCGCGCGAATCAGCGGCAGCAGTGGAAGTGAGCTAGGGTGGCCGGGGCACATTTTTAGGGGCGGCATTCTGGCGCCGGCCATGCCGTCCCTAAAAATGTGCCGCCCCAAGCACCAGCTTGTTTTGCTGGTGCCTAGAGCCGGTCCTGCCCCTTGCCCAGCCAATGGCTAAGCAAAGCACCAAAGCTGGGCGGGGGGATAGCACCTCCCTTCCTGTGATGCATGTGTTTTGGGCTTCCCTCATTGCCTGCTGTCCACACCAGGTCCTTCCTGACTAAGAGTATTAGAGAAGTTTTTCAGACATGTCTGCATCCATCACCAGCTCCCCCACAATGTGAGCTGAACCATGTGCTCCTCAGACAGAGCACAGCGTCCGCCCTTGCCCATTGTATGTAAATTATTCATTCGCCATGCTGTGGAAATTGCACAATGTTTTACTAACAAATCTATAAAGAGAGAAGATTCTTGTCAAGAGCAAAAGAAATTTTCTAAGTCCTAATGTCAAGAATCTAAACGTTAACTGATCCCATCCGTAGATCCTTAAAGAGAGGTCTATGGAATGCCTACAAGCCAAGGCACTCAGGGACATCCTCAACAAATGATTCAGAAAAGAAGGTTGGCACCTTAACCTTAGAGACATAAATGCATCACCTAATATCTTCAGCAAGCTGTTAAAGAGCACTTAAAAGAGCAAGAGTTGATTTCCCAAGATGCACATCAGTAAGTGACATGTATTAGAAGGGAAAATCAAACCCTATCGTGAGCATTCCATGGAAATCAAGCGTGGTTCTAGAACTGTAGCTGTACTTCAGGATGAAATTATAAGCACATGCTTAGAACAGTAAAAAAAGTTGCATGAAATGAACTATACTCCTACTAATACAAATATACAGACAAGGTACAACAAATGAGCAATATAATCTACAAAAGAGTTTGATTTCAGATTCTCTCTGGAAACACAGTACAGTATATTATGAAAAGACTTGGCATGATCGATGCAAATGTTATTGACGTCACATATGCACCTTGAGATCTGAACACAATGGGGATCCACAGAACATGATTTCCCTGCTCCTACATTGAAGGGGTACTCAGCTGCCTCGACAATAAAGTTCCCTGTTCCCTCCCAGGCCCCTGGGTTCAGAGCCACATGGGGAAAAAGGATGGAGATTGGATGTGCTGCAGGGGAAGCACATCAACCCTCACCTGCCCTGTAGAGCTAGGGTTGTATTCTCTTTCCTGTGCAGCCACCTTCGCGGGGCAGCCGCAAGTCTTTGGTAGTGCGACTCCATTGGAGTCACTGTGCGAGGGAGCCTTTTTTTTTTTGCAATGGTGAAGTATTTCAATGGTCGATTTAGTATCATTTTTTAAGTTTTATTTTTACAGAACACATATTGTTTCTGTTATTACTTTTGTTATTTTATTGACTCCATATTTATTATCCTGTCTATTTTGGATGCCTCTTGTTTTCTGTAGTAGATAGAAACCCCATTTCAAGTGGAGCTAAATGAGTGTAATGAGTTTTGGAAAACAGGAATTTACACATTTCACACTTTATTATGAGCATATTATATGAATTAGTCATTGACACATGGTGATCATTTTTTCACAAACAAACCTGCAGAGTTATGTCTGACAGCATTCCTTAGTTTTATCAATCTTTCATATTTTAAAAAAAATGAACTATAAATTATTAGCAATTATCTATTGAAAAATAAAGTTACTTGATGATAATATTCATATTTTCAGAAGAGGTGAAATTTTACAATATATAGCATTCAACTATAGCAAGATGAAATGAAAAGAGTAGAATAAGCAGCAGCCCTGTTTGATGTGCCTTTGAGACATGACTGCTTTCCACATCTGAATAATGGCATTCAAAATAAACCGTCGGGCATACAAAAAATTAGTGGCACGGCAAATGCTTTTAAAATTTAAACAGCATCAAACTGTGGCTATGAGTCTTCCCTTCATAAAATCCTAATGTGTTAACAACCCCATAAAATCTAAGGGCCCAAGCCTGCAAACACTTATGCACATGATTGAGTCTATGGGACTACTTAAATGAGCAAAATTACTCATGTCTTCAGTGCTTAAAGGACCATGGCCTACATTTGAACCCCCTAGATATCACTGTGCATCAGATACCTTGATCTGAAAAACAGCTTTATGAAAACAATATGCTTGAAATCTGACAGCATAATCCGGCCCCAAGCATTGGCATCAATGGAAAGTTCTGCTTAAAAATCTGAGGGTATGATGTAGCCCTTGATTGTTTTATGATTTTTTCTAAGAATACAAGGAAGAAATTAGGACAAACCATAATATTACGTAGAACCCCTTTCTTTCTTCAAGCAGAAAAAAAGCACTAGAGTAATAGCCAGGTGGTGGTAAGTACAGGAACTATCCAACTACTGAAGGGCAGAATGTCCAGGGCCTAATAGGATCTCAAAGATACAATGGACTTTTCATTGCCAGATAATGCAATTTATTGCATTGTAATGAAATGTTGGGGATGGGAGTGCATTATTAAATACAGTAATTATCAAAAATGTGTAATGTATGCACCCATTGCAGTGGAATCTGAGTAAAATAATGCCCAGTTCCTCTCTCTCCAACTTCAGATTGATCTTGTTCTCTTCCTAAACAGGGTTTACAGTCTCCAACAGCCAGTCCTAAGTGACTGTGAATGACTCAGGATTTTTATCAATGGTCACCCGGGCAAACTTTCACAGGCATCACTGCCGTGATAAGGTTTACATTCGCAAAGCATCTCCACAAACTAAAATAAACCCAGAAGGTTTACTAATGTGTGCACCATTTACCATATACATGCATGATACTGTTGGCAACAGTATCATGTCCCGAGGAGCAGCAGTAATTTAGGATCATCTTCTGCCACTCTTACTTACATTCTATTCTATTCTATTCTTTTGAAGGTTCTGATGTTGCCCACCTCCCTATAGCTTCTGAGCATTATCCAGAAGTGCACTAAGTGATGTGACTAGCATTTGTCATATATGACTCTCAAATAGTGTGATGC